TAGTAGACTCGCCAACTTTAAGGGCATTTAAATGGTCATTGGATAAACATATGGATGATAACGGAATAGTTTAGGTTAGATGGACTTCAGATTGGTTTCACAGGTCGGCGCAACATCGAGGGCCGAAGGGCCTGTACTGCGCTGTAATGTTCTATGTTCTATGTTCTATGTACTATGCCTTTCTGAGATCTGTGCAATAATACAACACCAGCTGCTAAGCCAAATCCACAATGAACCTCGGACTCGGCTCTCTCTCCGAAATTGCCCACGTGCTTTTTCCTACTTGCGCCACTGCTAGCCATGTGCATTTCATCCACCATCCCAAATGTCTGTACCTGCTTCTGCAGCCTATCATACTGTACAAACTGTTGCAGCAGATTGCGATGGATTCGAAACACGGGCTCTTGCTTGCTCAGTGAGGTGTCCCTCTGTGAACAGAAATGTAGTGTGTAAATCCTTCTGTTAGATACTAGAGTAAATTACATATACAGAGTGAGCATCAGCCTCCACTACATTCAGTTCACTAAAACAGAGGATGAGAGCCCCTTGTAGTATTATGCTTAATTCCTCCTTTTACTCAATAACACACCGTGTCTGTATATAGCATGGTCTATACCATCTGTACCTCTTCATGGATAAGTTTCAGCTGGAGATGACACTTCCCACGATCAGGATAGGTCTCAGTACAAGGTCCCAGAGAATACCATTTATCTTCAGGAGTATAGGGCAGATCCTGCAAAATACAACAGTAAAACGTGAGAAAACAAATCAAAACAAATGCATCATATATTGAATCTGTGATTTTCACACACTCTGCACATCCTATCAGTTCTGGTGTTTGGACTGGGGGATTCAATCCTCAAAAAAAACAGCATCAATAAACAGATTAACTGATTAATTTAGACTCGGCCAATGGAACAAAACATTTGAATATATTTCAAGAAGGAATTAGACAAGTTCTTACTAACAAATGAGATGCGATACTGTGGATCAAGTGGTCAAATAGACTGAAAGTCTCTTGTCTGAAAATGTTACTATCAAAGTAATGCCCATTGGAAATCATCTTTCCTTCAATATTTCATTGGCTTTAAAGCACTTTAAGTTTTCTAGTGGTCGTGAAAAATGCAATATAAATGCAACTTTTATTTTAGAAAACACTAGTTTGTGTAATACTCTTCTAAAAGGCTGCACTCTGTGCATAGATCAGAAGGTTCTGGGGTTTTGTTACCAGGCTGTGCCACTAGGCCTTCCTGAAACAGTCTGTTTGGATCTGGTAGGTCTGGTCCAGCGTGTAGTAGGAGGGACAATCAGGTCAGGCATCAGCCTCCTTGTGTGTCAGTGTGAATATCTGATGAAGACTCAGGTGTGAAGCACCCCCAGACCACATGGTCTACCAATGTTTACAGGTATAGGATGATGGTTTGGGCAAGATGCTGGGAAATGTCCCAGGCCCGGAGACTGTCAGTGCCTTCGGGAGAAAGAGAAACTGCAGGGGGATGTTTCACATACACGGGACAGGGACCTATTGAAGAGGCGAGTTGGAAAGGACTGCATCGACTTTGTGGGGATCATCCCATGAGCTTTCCTGATTGGAGATGAAATATCTAGCTAAATCTCACAGGAGTCTCATCCCTATTTGAAAATTTTGATCATATGATGTCACTAGGACCCTGTAGCCCTAGTCTCAGTGAGGGGGGATTCTGCCCTGGCAACCCATCAATTGGGAGTCGTTCTGTAGCCTGAAGGAAGAGGGCCATGTTATATCTTGATGACCTATAAAAGAAGACTCAACTCTGCCAAGGATCTTCACCCTCATCTTTCTTACTCCCACTACTCTGCTGTCACCAGCAAGTGTCTAATAGCACCATCAGACCTGGTATTTCACCCATCCTCTATCGCTGATTATTAGGGGAATTGAAGGTTATGGGGAGAGGGCAGGAAAGTGGACATGAGGAGTGTCGGATCAGCCTTGATCCTACTGAATAGTGGAGCAGGCTTGAGGGGCTGAACTCCTGTTCCTATTTCTTATGGTCTTATCCACTCTGTTAAAATCCACCCATTCTGTCTCACCTGTAGTTTAATGATCACATTTCCCAGAAAATCGTCCTGTTCATGCTTTCGAGCAGCCTTTTTCACATCTTTCAAAATCCTGTACCGTGAATCATAGTTGGTATTAGGCAGCAAGAACCCATCAGACAGTTAGTTACAGACACATGAAGCAGCCAGATCACAGACACCAGAATCATCATTGAGTCTCAGGCTGAACAGTCAAGGCAGATACAATCAACCTGCTGGTGGGGTAATGGGAGGTCCTTCATTTGTGGAGTAAATGAAGCGGGTATCGGATTGGAGACAGCTTAGAGAAGGGAATGTGGATTGGCACTGAAAGAATGATGGACTGATGATGGGTGATCAGGGTGCATAGGTTAACAGTTAGGGGAAAATAACATTGTTGGAATGGCATAGAAGAATCAGCAAGTGTTGGCATATAGGGAAAATAGAGTGTGTTGAATTGGGAAATCTGGGGCATGAAGGTAGTAGTGAACTGTAGATGGGTATGATAGGGAATATTGAGCTGGAGACAAGTATTTCACTAATGCATATTAGCTTATACAATTTAGAATAATCTACTTTGAATATATTGAAATTAATTCTATATGACAATTAAACTTGTAACAGTTTTTAATCTGTGATATAATGATTAGCATTTTCCTCTTATTGAACTCTGTCACTGTGGCATTGGAGTGTGTTTGCGATTCAGTTTTGTCAATGTAGACGCTTTCATGAATCAACATTTTGCAATCTTGATCTCGGTAACAATCCATGAGTTAGGCGTTTAAAATGTAGAATGGCCACAGAAGATGCTATCAGTCAAGATATAACCAATCTGTTCAGGATTTTATGAAGGTGTAACCAGTGGGGTAGATCAGGGGAAACCAGGTGATTGTAGTGTATTTTGATTTGAGAGGGTAATAGGGACAAGATTTTGTGCTCCCTTGCCAGGTATGAAACTGCAGGTGAGATGGGGGGGCACACATAAAATCCAATGGGCAGTCTTCCCACTACCTACCCATCGACTGACTCCATGTGAGGTGGCGCTGTCTGCAGTTCCAGCAATGGTCATCACTCCAGGCTGGCACTGAATGGTTGGCAGCTCTCAAAAGTGAAACTTACAACTGAGAAAGGTGTGGAAATCTCACCTTAAAGAAATAAATGACAGCAAGGCAGATGCTGGGGTTGTGGGCAGGCTTCCCTCCCCAATTTTCTAGATGGCATGGGGAGTGGTGGCAGGGTCCTCAGCATCCTATAAACTCCAGCCTGAAGTTTCTATACTAGATTAAGAGTCATGAAATTGGGGGTATGGTGTCAACATGGATTGAGGATCAATTAAATGACAGAAGGATGTGATTAGTGAAAAGTTGTAAAGTGCAGATATTCACAAGCTATGTAAATCACTTAGATAAGGGAATGAGTTTAAAAACAAATCTACGTTAGCTGACTATACAAAGCTAAATCGAAATGCCATAAGGAGGTTGTACCACACAGGTTATGAGAGTGGGAAAACTGGTAGCAGGTGGAATATAACATAGACAAATTTAAATTATTCACTTTGGTAGGATGAATGAAAAAGTAGAATATATTTTAAAGGGTGGAGATGTTATGAGGAGAGATTAAACAAATTGGAACTGTTTTCTCCAGAATTTAGAAAAGACAGGGTAACTAAAGATCAACTATTTCCATTAGTTGGGGATTCTAGAACTGGGGTCATAGTCTGAGAATTAGGGTCAGACCATTCAGGAGGGATATTAGAAAGCACCACTATACACAAAGAGTGGTAGATGTTTGGAACTCTCTTCCACAAATGGCAGTGGATGCTGGATAAGTTGTTAGTTTTAAATCTGGAGACAGAGAATCTTTTGTTAAACAAAGAGATATGGGCCAAAGGCAGGTATGTGGAGCTAGGCCACATATCAGCCATGATCTCACTCAATGCTAGAACAGACTCAAAGGGGCTGAATGGCTTACTCCTGTTCCAATGAAAGACAAATAAATTATGTATCTGAATCATGCAGGCAAAGAAGTATTTAGGAAGACAATGTTCTATTAAACTTTCTTGCAAAGCGTTTGGAAGAGAGTAAGAAAGTCTTGCTATAAAAGATTGGTGGGATCACACCTGACGTACTCAGCATTGTTTTGGTTTCTTTACTGAAAGAACGATACACTTGACTTAAAGGGAACGCAACAAAGGTTCATTAGAATGATTCCTGGGATGATACCATTGTCTTTTGAGGGCAGATAGATAAAGGGGACCTATATTTTTTGGAGTTGAGAAGAATGAGAAGTAATCTCATTGAAACAAATAAAAGCATGAAGGAGATTGACCGGGCAGATACCGGGAGGCTGTTGCCTCTGGCTGGGAGACTAGAACACACAGACAGAGTCTCAGGAGAAGGGGTTGGCTATTTAAAACTGATGAGGAGAAATGTTTTCATTATAAAAATAAATTAATTTGTGGGATATAGGTGTCATTGCCATATCCATCCCTAATTGCTCCAGAGCACAGTTAAGAATCAACGACATTACTGTGGGTCTGGAGTCACATGTAGGCCAGACCAGGTGAGGATGGCAGATTTCCTTCCCCAAAGGACATGAGTGAACCAGATGGGTTTTTACAACAATAAACAATGATTACATAGTCACTGTTAGGCTAGCTTTCTTTATTGCAGAATTGAAATTTCACTCTCTGTCATGGTGCAACTTAAACTCTCCATGTTTGCAGCAGCAGCGGGAGCAGTGAGAACGAGGATGTGGGGGCTGCCGAGAAGGTAAGTTCTTTTGGCAGCGGAGCTGAGTGGGAGTGGGACGGTGAGTGAACTGATATATTTGGGCAGTGGCTAAACCCGAGGCACAACACGTGTCATGTCTCCCACCCGCCCTCCTCCTCTAACGAAAAAAAAGACTGTGTGGTGTGTTGATAAGGCAAGGTTTTTCTTTTTGTTTTCTTTATTATGTGCTGGTAAGTAGAGTGATTGGTAAAAATCTTTTCATTTCATTTATCTATTATTTGATATTATAGTAGGACTAAGGTAAGCTTAAGAGTAAAAATGGCAGGAGATCCCAGACCCATGTTATGCTCCTCTTGCTCAATGTGGGAGCTCAGGGACTGATGTCCCTGACTCCTACACGTGCAGGAAGTGTGTCCAGCTGCAGCTCTTGTTAGACCGCATGACGGCTCTGGAGCTGTGGATGGACTCACTTTGGAGCATCCGTGATGCTGAGGAAGTCGTGGATAGCACGTTTAGCAAATTGGTCACACCGCAGATTAGGATCGCTGAGGGAGAAAGGGAATGGGTGACCAAAAGGCAGAGAAAAAGCAGGAAGGCAGTGCAGGAGTCTCCTGTGGTCATCTCCCTCCAAGACAGGTATACCATTTTGGATACTGTTGGGGGAGATGGCTCACCAGGGGAAGGCAGCAGTAGCCAGGTTCATGGCACCGTGGCTGGCTCTGCTGTACAGAAGGGCGGGAAAAAGATTGGAAGGGCTATAGTCATAGGGGATTCGATAAGGGGAGTAGATAGGTGGTTCTGTCGTCGAAAACGAGACTCCCGAATGGTATGTTGCCTCCCAGGTGCACGGGTCAGGGATGTCTCAGATCGACTGCAGGACATTCTGAAGGGGGAGGGTGAACAGCCAGCTGTCGTGGTGCATATAGGCACCAATGATATAGGTAAAAAATGGGATGAGGTCCTACAAGCAGAATTTAGGGAGGTAGGAGCCAAGTTAAAAAGTAGGACCTCAGAGGTAGTAATCTCAGGATTGCTACCAGTGCCACATGCTAGTCAGAGTAGAAATGAAAGAATAGGCAGGATAAATGAGTGGCTTGAGAGATGGTGCAGGAGGGAGGGGTTCAGATTTTTGGGACATTGGGACCGGTTCTGGGGGAGGTGGGACTATTACAAATCAGACGGTCTACACCTGGGCAGGACTGGAACCAATGTCCTAGGGGCTGCTTTTGCTAATGCTGTTGGGGAGGGTTTAAACTAATGTGGCAGGAGAATGGGAACCAAATGAGGTGGTTAGTGGACAGTAAGGAGGTAGTAACTAAAGCCTGTAAGGAACTAGATAATGAAGTCAGTGTGACTAAGAGGCAGAGTAGGCAGAGAGCAGATGATGAATGCAAAGGGACAGGTGGTCTGAGGTGCATTTGTTTTAATGTGAGAAGTGTAGTAGGTAAGGCAGATGAACTTAGGGCTTGGATTGGTACCTGGGAATATGATGTAATTGCTATTACTGAGACTTGGTTGAGGGAAGGACAAGATTGGCAACTAAATATCCCAGGATATAGATGCTTCAGGCGGGATAGGGAGGGAAGTAAAAGGGGTGGAGGAGTTGCATTACTGGTCAAAGAGGATATCACAGCTGTGCTGAAGGAGGGCACAATGGAGGACTTGAGCAGTGAGGCAATATGGGCAGAGCTCAGAAATAGGAAGGGTGCGGTAACAACGTTGGGGCTGTACTACAGGCCTCCCAACAGCGAGCATGAGATAGAGGTACAAATATGTAGACAGATTATGGAAAGATGTTGGAGCAACAGGCTGGTGGTGATGGAAGATTTTAATTTTCCCAACATTGACTGGGATTCACTTAGTGTTAGGGGTTTAGATGGAACAGAATTTGTAAGGAGCATCCAGGAGGGTTTTATAGAGCAGTATGTAAATAGTCCAACTCGGGAAGGGGCCATACTGGACCTGGTGTTGGGGAATGAGCCCAGCCAGGTGGTTGAAATTTCAGTAGGGGATTATTTTGGGAAAAGTGATCACAACTCCGTAAGTTTTAGAATACTCATGGACAAAGATGAGAGTGGTCCTAAAGGAAGAGTGTTAAATTAAGGGAAGGCCAACTATAGCAAAATTCGGCAGGAGCTGGGGAATGTGGATTGGGAGAAGCTGTTTGAGGGTAAATCCACATTTGATATGTGGGAGGCTTTTAAAGAGAGGTTGATTTGAATGCGGGACAGACATGTCCCTGTGAAAATGAGGGACAGAAAGGGCAAGATTAGGGAACCATAGATGACAGGTGAAATTGTGAGACTAGCAAAGAGGAAAAAGGAAGCATAAATAAGGTCTAGGCGACTGAAAACAGACAAAGCTTTGGAAGAATATCGGGAAAGTAGGACCAATCTGAAATGAGGAATTAAGAGGGCGAAAAGGGGTCATGAAATATCTTTAGCAAACAGGGTTAAGGAAAATCCCAAAGCCTTTTATTTGTACATAAGGAGCAAGAGGGTAACTAGAGAAAGGGTTGGCCCAATCAAGGACAAAGGAGGGAAGTTATGCGAGGAGTCAGAGAAAATTAGTGAGATTCTTAATGAGTACTTTGCGTCGTATTCACCGAGGAGAGGGACATGACGGATGTTGAGGTTAGGGATAGATGTTTGATTACTCTAGGTCAAATTGGCATAAGGAGAGGGGAAATGTTGGGTATTCTAAAAGGCATTAAGGTGGACAAGTCCCCAGGTCCGCATGGGATCTATCCCAGGTTACTGAGGGAAGTGAGAAAGGAAATAGCTGGGGCCTTAACAGATATCTTTGCAGCATCCTTGAGCACGGGTGAGGTCCCGGAGGGCTGGAGAATTGCTAATGTTGTCCCCTTGTTTAAGAAGGGTAGCAAGGATAATCCAGGTAATTATAGACCGGTGAGCCTGATGTCAGTGGTGGGGAAGCTGCTGGAGAAGATACTGAGGGATAGGATCTATTTACATTTGGAAGAAAATGGGTTTATTAGTGATAGGCAGCATGGTTTTGTGCAGGGAAGGTCATGTCTTACCAACTTGATAGAATTCTTTGAGGAAGTGACAAAGTTGATAGATGAGGGAAGGGCTGTGGATGTCATATACATGAACTTCAGTAAGGCGTATGATAAGGTTCCCCATGGTAGGCTGATGGAGAAAGTGAAGTCATATGGGGTCCAGGGTGTACTAGCTAGATGGCTGGGCAACAGGAGATAGAGAGTTGTAGTGGAAGGGAGTTTCTCAAAATGGAGATCTGTGACCAGTGGTGTTCCACAGGGATCCGTGTTGGGACCGCTGTTGTTTGTGATATACATAAATTATCTGGAGGAAGGTATAGATGGTCTGATTAGCAAGTTTGCAGATGACACTAAGATTGGTGGAGTAGCAGATAGTGAAGGGGACTGTCGGAGAATGCAGCAGAACTTAGATAGATTGGAGAGTTGGGTGGAGACATGGCAGTGGAGTTCAATCCAGGCAAATGCGAGGTGATGCATTTTGGAAGATCCAATTCAAGAGCGAACTATATGGTAAATGGAAAAGTCCTGGGGAAAATTGATGCACAGAAAGACCTGGGTGTTCAGGTCCATTGTACCCTGAAGGTGGCAACGCAGGTCGATAGAGTGGCCAAGAAGGCATACGGCATGCTTTCATTTATCAGACGGGGTATTGAGTACAAAAGTTGGCAGGTCATGTTACAGTTGTATAGGACTTTGGTTCGACCACATTTGGAATACTGCGTACAGTTCTGGTCGCCACATTACCAAAAGGATGTGGATGCTTTGGAGAGGGTGCAGAGGAGGTTCACCAGGATGTTGCCTGGTATGGAGGGCGCTAGCTATGAAGGGAGGTTGAGTAGATTAGGATTATTTACATTAGAAAGACGGAGATTGAGAGGGGACCTGATTGAGGTCTACAAAATCATGAGAGGTATAGACAGGGTGGATAGCAAGAAGCTTTTTCCCCAGAGTGGGGGGCTCAATTACTAGGGGTCATGATTTCAAGGTGAGAGGGGAAAAGTTTAAGGGAGATATGCGTGGAAAGTTCTTTATGCAGAGGGTGGTGGGTGCCTGGAACGCGTTGCCAGTGGAGGTGCTACAGGCAGGCACGATAGCGTCATTTAAGATGTATCTAGACAGATACATGAATGGGCAGGGAGCAGAGGGATACAGATCCTTGGAAAATAGGCGACAGGTTTAGATAGAGGATCTGGATCAGCGCAGGCTTGGAGGGCCGTAGGGCCCGTTCCTGTGCTGTAATTTTCTTTGTTCTTTGAACTTGTGCCCAGAACATAGAACATAGAACAGTACAGCACAGCACAGGCCCTTCGGCCACGATGTTGTGCCGAACTTTTACCCTAACATAAGCCTGGGGTTTTGGATTAGTAGTCCAGGATATTTATTTCATACACACACTGTGCAGACACTAAGATCAACAGGTTTCTTAACACAAAGGAAATCAAAACGGGAGAGGGTGGATAAGTGACTGATGTCAGCGTTCAGGCACAATCATATTGAGAGGCAGAGCAAGATCGAGGAGTTATGTGACCTACTCCTGGCCCTACACTTGTTCTTCTGGGATAGGAGTTTTTAAGTTACCCATCAGGTACAGAACTCCTGGTCAGCATTTTCAGATTTCACACACAGAGGTGAACAGGACCATTACCTTCCGATACCTGGCCACATCCTCCTAACCAGTGCCTCCACCAACTCCTTGTGCTTTTCTAGAGATGAAAGACTTTTTATTCTGAACACACTCACCAAAGCAACCATTCATCAGCAAATCTGGAGGCAAGGTGAGAGATTGTGTGGCATGGGCAATGAACAAAGAGAAAAAAATGGAAGGTCTGCAAACAGGTGGAGAGTGGGAGTGATTAACAACAAAAGCGTTGATGGCAAATGAAATAGTAATGGAACAAGTAAAGGAACAAAAAGATTCCAGAGGAGGTGTAAGTTGTTGAAGCAGAACCACTACTAGTACGTGCTGTCCAAGAATAAGGGTTGGGAACCCTAACCCAAATGCAGGTTATCATCTAAAAATCAATGTACATCTAAAATAACAGGAATTTCAGGCAATGGATATTCTGCAATGGATCCATTAGTATCTGTCACCATCACAAGGCAATCAGATCTCACAAATCAGGCAGACAGCAGTGAATCACTTGCTCACCTCTTGAGTCCAACAATGCCATGGATCTCCCCCAGTCGGTGTTTCACAGATGCATCATCATCCGAGTCCCTGAACACAAACAATCTCTTAAACAAGAGAAGCATTCAACATCAAACTTACAACAACTTACACTATGTAGCATCTGTAGTGTAGAAAATTATCCTAAGGCCCCTCATAGGAGCGTACATGAAGGATGAATAATATTTTAGGGTTAAAATTGTAAAAAAAATTAAGAAGTATTTAGATATGTACTTGTGTTGCCAAGGCATATAAGGCTATGGGCCAGTTGCTGGAAAATAGGATTGGAATAGTCAGGTGCAGACTTGATGGGCTGAAGGGCCTTTTTCTGTGCAGTAGGTCTCTCTGCCAAATGTGGAGATGTTAGGAAGTGATGCAAAAGCTTGGTCAAAGAAATAGGATTGTATTTGTATCTTAAAGGAGAAAGTCAGAATGGTTTATGAAGGGAATTCCAGAGCTCAGTCAGCTGAAGGCACAGCTGCTAATGTAGGGGCAAAGAAAATTAAGGACACCCATGAAGCCACAGCTGGAGGAATGCAGGTTATTCAGATGACTAAGAGACTGAGAATGTTAAACAGACAGAGAGGGTTGAGGCCACATAAAGGTTTGAGCATAAGGTTGTGAATTTTTAAGTTGGCCAGGAGCCAATGTATGTAGGTTCACAGATGAGGGTAAACAGGACATGAAACCCACAGAAAGATATTGGATGATTTCTTGCCTATTGATGGGCTGTATGAACAGCAGAATCTACAGGAGCAGAGTAATCTGTGGGGCATACAGTGTTTAAGTGACACCTCTTCTGGTTCCTTTAACAGGGTGACTGTGAGCTCGCTGATGTTGGACAGTATATGCCACATACTGTAACATATAAAAGTCTCTGGGGAATGTACCCAAGCCTATTTGGTATTTCTTCAGTTTTAGAATGCTTGTCTATAATGTATCCCTGATCACCCCTATGCTCAATGACCTAGACCAGCGCCTGCTTCAGCAATGTCTTGATTTTAAGATTCTTATTGTTGTTTTCAAATTTCCCCTTGCCTTCACTCTTCCCTAACTCTGTAATCTTCATAATCCTCAGATATCCGCACTCCTCTAATTCTAGCCTATTGTTCATTACGATTTTAAGTGCCTTCAGTTGCCTAAGCCCCAGTCTCTGGAATTCCCTCCCTGAACCTCTCCCTCTCTAACTCTCTTCCTCCCTTAAGGTGCTCCTTAAAACCACTCTTCTTGGCTAAGGTTTTGGACATGTAATCTAATACCTCCTATCTGGCTCAATATTTGTGAAACTCCTTGGGAGATTATGGTAAAGACTTGTATAAATGTAAACTTGTTGTTGTAGTACATTTTTACTTAGAAGAGGACTGTATATGACTTCCGGAGTGTCACAACCCTGTTGTGGCAATGTTTTCCCCAGATGCCTGTTATTGCTCTGTTTAAATCTAGAGTGTACCGGAGTACAGAACAATGGAGAGTCAGCAGGGCAGTGAAATTAGCTTGGGGTTGCTTGCATGCAATGGATTAAATGGCCTTCTCCTCTGTTGCCTTCTTGTCCTAGTGTATTCTCAACACTTTCCCAGCAAAGTAACTGCAATTGGAAATACTCACCACATGTCCATGTGTAGTTGAGAGTGATGGAAATCCTTGACTTGCCTGCAACAAAAAAGACAGTCATTATTAACAGAGATTTTGGGAATGAGGACAGTGACAATATCTTCCAGTCAATTCATTTGGATGAGTGATATGGCCAACAATGGTTAGTATGATGGCTTATGTTGCAGGGTTACAGCAAGTCTTTAGTGTCATGGATATGGATCTTTTGTTTTTTTGTAACAGAGCTGCCTCATCCTCTTTCTGTGCCTCAATTAGCCAAAGCATGGAATGAAATTCCTGCCATTTGCTGAATCCTTCACATGACCTCCCTAGCTGATCCTAGTAATTTTGTGTCTGTCCCCAGATAGAGCAACGAGATCATACAGGTCTGACTCTATTCAGATCTGACCTAATCCAGGTCGGTGCTGAATTAGCTGATGTTGGGGTTTAGGATGGAGAGGCAAAAGAAGGCTCCCTCGAGGAGTTCCAGGAAAAAAAATGGTGGACAGGAGAGGGTCATGGCTGTGAGAGCTGCTCTAGGTTTTGCAGTTTTTTTTCAGCACTCAGCTGGATTTACGCACTTCCTTGGGGCAGTAATTGCTGTTTTTACAAGTTTTGCATTGTTTTTGGAACTTTAAAAAAAGATCGAAAACAAAGATACTTTAAAAGGGAGGAAAGAGGGTGAGTGTCAGGAGAGCAACCATTTGACATGGTTGGAGACTGAAGAATTGCATAAGGCTCGGAGATCAGCTTCTTATGAAGCAGCTAACAAATGTTGTTTCATAGCTGTCAGACTGAGAAATTGCACAAAGGCTCTGGAGATTGGGTTTCATTGAAATAACAAACAAATAGTGCAGTTTCATAGCTGACATGGGAGGTCTAATATCCAGCTTCACACACAGCTGCAGAGGTATCTGATTTTAAAAAAAACTGCCTGAAACTACAGGAGAAGAGAACGACCTTTGGTTTTTCAGCCTGATCAACTAAGCGTTTGATTTTAAGACTTATGAAACTTCTAAATGTTAATTTTTTTTTAAACTCTCTAATAGTGAGTAAGGTGAGGGCATTTTTTAAAATTATGTTTACACTGAGATCTGTCTCTTGATTGACTTTTAATATTGATTGTGGCATGGTGGCTCAGTGGTTAGCACTGCTGCCTCACTTCATTAGAGACTGGGGTTCAATCCAGCCTCGGGCAACTGTCTGTGTGGAGTTTGCACATTCTCCCCGTGTTTGCGTGGGTTTCCTTCGGGTGCCCCGGTTTCCTCCTGCAGACCAAAGATGTGCAGGTTAGGTGGATTGGCCATGGTAAATTGTCCATAATGTGCAGACTGGGTGGATTAGCCATGGGAAATGCGGGGTTACAGGGTCAGGGTAGCAGGGTGCATCCGGATGGGATGCTCTTCGGAGGGTTGCTATCAACCCGATGGGCTGAATGGCCTGCTTTTACACTATAGGATTGAATGATTAAGGATTGGTATTAAGTTACATCAAAGCAGTGTTTTTAAGCAAGAAGACTGTGCTAAAGCTATGATTTTGAGCAAAGTGTATTGTGTTTGTTTTTAGATAATTTCTGGGTCTGTAGATTGTTAAATGGCCAGAAATGGCTTTTGCTAGGGTGATGTGCTCTACCTGTGAGATGCGGGAGATCGAGGAGAATTTGAATGCTCCTGGAGACTATGTCTGCAGGAAGTGCGTTTGGTTGCGAATCCTAGCGGATCACATGGACATGTCGGAGCGGCAGTTAGAGGAGTTTATAGGAGCTGGGGGGTGGGCGGGTTGGGGAGTGAGTGGTGATGGATGGCAGTTTCAGGATGCTGGAGACACTGCAGATACATTCAGGTAGATGGTTGACTGCTAAGAATAGTAGGAGGGGTAGACAAGTAATGAAGAGTCTCCTGTGGCTATTCCCATCTCAAACAGGTATACCATTTTAGATACTGTAGATGGGAGAATGGCCACTCAGGGGATTATAGCACTGACAGCCAGGTTTCTGGTACCATGACTGACTCTGTAATGAGGGGTATGTCAGGTTCCAAGTGATTGGTTGTAATAGGGGCATAGACAAACATTTCTGCAGCCATCAGTGTGTTGTCTCCCTGGTGCCAGGGTCAAGGATGTCTCGGAGACGGTGCAGAACATTCTGAAAGGAAAGAGTGACCAGCAGCAGGCCATTGTGCACATTGATACCATTGACATAGATAGGGAAAGGGATGATGTTCTGAAGAGAGAATATAGGAAACTAGGCAGGAGGTTAAAAAATAGGTCTTTGAGGATAGTAATATCTGGATGACTACCAGCGCCACCTGCTAGTGAAAACAGGAATAGGAGGATCGAGCAGATGAATGTGTGGCTGAGGAGCTGGGGGCAAGGATTCACATTTTTGGACTATTAGGATTTCTTTAGGGGTAGAAATGACATGTACAGGAGGGACGGGTTCTGCATGAATTGGAAGGGGATCAAGAGGCTTTAAGCTAGTAAGTTGGGTGAGGGATAAGAACCACAGCAATAGTGAGAAAAGAGAAAAGGCTGATGCTAGTGCTGTAGATAAGGGGAGCAATTTGAATAGTCAAAGCAGACAAGAGCTTGGCAGAGAACAAGGTAAGACTGATAAATTAAACTGCATTCACTTGCAAGAGGCCTGACAGGAAAGGCAGATGAACTTAAGGCATGGTTGGGAACATGGGATTGGGATATTATAGCTATTACAGAAATGTGGCTGAGGCATGGACAGAACTGGCAGCATAAAGTTCTCGGGTATCAATGCTACAGGAAGGATCGAAAGGGGTGGGGGGAGAAAGAGAGGAGGCAGAGTGGTGTTTTTTGTTAGGGATAACATTATGGCTGTACTTGGGGAGGATATTCTTGGGAGATCCATCCAATGAAGTTATATGGGTGGAACTGAGAAATAAGAAAGGGATGATCACCTTTTAGGATTGTATTACAGAGTCCCCAATAGTCAGCGGGAAATTGAGAAGCAAATATGTAAGGAAATCTCAGTTAACTGTAAGAACAATAGGGTTGTAATGGTAGGGGATTTTAACTTTCCAAACATAGACTGGGACTTTCATAGTTCTAAGGGCTTGTATGGGGAAGAATTTGTGTGTGTACGAAACAATACTTGACCTTCTATTGGGAAATAAGGCAGGGCAGGTGACTGAGGTGTCAGTGGGGGAGCACTTTCAGGCAAGTGATCATAATTCTATTAGTTTTAAAGTAGTTATGGAAAAGGATAGAACTTACCAAAAAGTTAAAATTCTAAATTGGAGGAAGGCCAATTTTGAACTATTAGACAGGAACTTTCAAAAATTGATTGGGGGAGGCCATTTGCAGGTAAAGGGTCGGTTAGGAGGTGGGAAGCCTTCAAAAATGAGATAACGAGAGTTCAGGGACAGTATTTTCCTGTTAGTGTGAAGGGCAAGGCTGGTAGGAGTAGGGAATGCTCAATGACTACAGAAATTGAGGCTCTGGTCAAGAGGCAAATTTCAGGTGTAGACAGCTGGGATTGAGTGAACCCTACAGGAATATAAGGGCAGTAGGAGTATACTTAAGAAGGAAATCATGAGGACAAAAAGGGAGCATGAGATAGCTTTGGGAAATAGAGTTAAGGAGAATCCAAAGAGATTTCATACATACATTAAGGGGAAAAAGTGTAGCTAGGGAGAGAATACAGCTCCTTAAAGATCAACGTGGCCGTCTATGTGTGGAACCACAGGAGATAGGTGAGATACTAAATGAATATTTCGCGTCAGTATTTACCGTGGAGAAAAACATGAAAGCTAGGGAACTTGGGGAAATAAATAATGATGTCTTGAAAAGAATTCATCTTGCAGAACAGGAGGTGCTGGAGGTCTTAAAACACAAAGGTAGATAAAATCCCAGGACCTGATCAGGTGTATCCCAGACCTTCATGAGAAGCAAAGAACAGATTACTGGAACCTTGCTGAGATATTTGTATCATCGACAGCCATGGGTGAGGTGCCAAAAGCCTGGACATTGGCTAATGTGGTGCCATTATTTAAGAAAAGCTATAAGGAAAAGCCAGGAAAGTATAGAGCAGTGAGCCTTACCTCACTAGTGGGTAGGTTGTTGGAGGAAATTCTGAGAGTCAGGATTTATATGCTTTTGGAAAGCCAATGACTGATTAGGGATAGCCAACATGGCTTTGTACAAGTGAAATCATGTCTCACTAACTTGATTGAATTTTTTGACGAGGAGGTGACAACAAAGATTGATGAAGGCAGAGTGGTAGATGTTGTCTATCTGGACTTCAGCAAAGCGTTCAACAAGGTTCCACATGGTAGACTGGTGGGTAAGGTTAGATCACAGGTTTCAGGGGGAGTTAGTCAATTAGGTACAAAATTGGCTTGAAGGTAGGAGACAGAGGGTGGTGGTGGAGGGTTGTTTTTCAGACTGGAAGCCTGTGACTATCAGTGTGCCACAAAGATCAGTGCTGGGTCCACCACTTTTTGACATTTATATAAATGATTTGGATGTGAACACAACAGGCATGGTTAATAAGTTTGCAGATGACACCAAAATAGGTGGTGTAGTGGGCAGTGAGGAAGATTATCTCATAGAACAATAGGGCCAATGGACCAAGGAGTGCCAGAACGAGTTTAATTTAGATAAATGTGAGGTGTCGCATTTTGATAAAGTAAACCAGGGCAGGGCTTATATACTTAATTGTAGGGCCCTAGAGAGTGTTGCTGAATGAAGAGACCTCGGGATGCAGGTGCGTAGTTCCTTGAAAGTAGAGTTGCAGGTAGACAGGGTGATGAAGAAGGCATTTAGCATGCTTGCCTTCATTGGTCAGAACATTGAGATAGGAGTTGGGATGTCATGTTGCATCTGTACAAGATATTGGTGAGGCCACTTTTAGAATACTGCATACAATTCTGGTCATCCTTCTACAAGAAGGATGTCATTAAACTTGACAGTGTGCAGGAACGATTTACAAGGATGTTGCCAGGGTTGGAGAGTTTGAGCCATAGGGAGAGACTGAAAAGGTTGGGGCTTTTTTCCCTGCAGCATCAGAGGCTGAGGGGCGACCTTACAGAGGTTTACAAAATCATGAAGGGCATGGATGGGGAGAATAGCCAATGTATTTTTCCTAGGATGGGGGAGTCTGAAACTAGAGAGCATAGGTTTAAGGTGAGAGGGGAAAGATTTTAAAAAGGACCTGAGGAGTGACTTTTTCATACAGAGGGTGGTGCATGTATGAAATAAGCTGCCAAAGGAAGTGGTGCAGGTGCGTACAGTTACAACTTGTAAATGGCATCTGAATGGGTACATTAAATGGAAAGAATTTAGAGCGATATGGACGAAATGCTGGCAAATGGAATTAGGTCGAATTAGAGATAGTAGGAACTGCAGATGCTGGAGAATCTGAGATAACAAGGTGTAGAGCTGATGAACACAGCAGGCCAAGCAGCATCAGAAGAGTAGGAAAGCTGACGTTTCGGGCCTAGACCGTTCTTCAGAAATGGGGGCGGGGAAGGGGAGTCGGAAATTGTTAGGAATGCCCTTCCCCTCCCCCATTTCTGAAGAAGGGTCTAGGCCCGAAACATCAGCTTTCCTGCTCCTCTGATGCTGCTTGGCCTGCTGCGTTCATCCAGCTCTACACTTTGTTATCCTAGGTCAGATTAGCATGTCAAGTCAGTGTGGATGAGTTGCATGTTTCCATGCTGAATGACTGTGACTATCAGCCAAGGTTGCAGCTTCCCTGGATATGCAATGACACAGCCAGCAAGTCTGAGGGGAGGTTGTAAGATCAGGACCAAGTGCAGCTACAATGCCCTGCACAATCAAAAAGGCCCACTGACAAAAAAAAGCGTGGCCTTAGAAATATTGACGGAGACCAAGCTACTCACCAGCTCCCAGCCAAAAGAATTGAAGAGAAAACTGAAAAGCAGAGAGGGCAGAAGGAGGAAAAAAAAGAGAGAAGTGGAAGAAATGAAAAAGAATGAGAGGAGAGAGTAAACTAGCAATGCAATGGCAATGGACAGGGAAGAGAGTTGAGACCACAATTATTCATGTTATACATTAATGATCTAGATGAAGGAATTGAAGGCGTTGTTGCTAGGTTTGCAGATGACACAAAGATAGGTGGAGGGACATGTAGTGTTGAGGAAGCAGGAGGCTGCATAAGGAACTAGACAGACTCATAGAATGGGCAAAGAAGAGGCAGATGGAATGGAGTGCCGGAAGGTGTGAGGCTATGTACGTTGGTAGGAAGTATGGAGGTGTAGACTATTTTCTAACAGGGAAAAGCTTCAGAAATCTGAAGCACAAAAGGGGCTTAGAAGTCCTAGTTCAGAATTCTCTCAAAGTTAACATGCAGGAAGACAAATGCAATATTAGTATTCTTTCAAGAGGGCTAGAATACAACAGCAGGGATGTACACCTGAGGCTGTATAAGGCTCTGGTCAAATGGCATTTGGAATGTTGTGAGCTCTTTTGGGCCATGTATCTAAGGAAGGATAAACTAACATTGGAGTGGGTCCAGAGATGGTTTACAAGAATGATCCTGGAGATGAAGGGCTTGTCATATGATGAGCGGTTGAGGACTCTGGGTCTGTACTCCATGGAGTTTAGAAGGATGATGGGGAATCTCATTGAAACTTACAGATAACTGAGAGGCCTGGATAGAATAGACATGGGGAAGATGTTTCCACTAGTAGAACAGACTAGGACTTGAGAGCACAGCCTCATAGTGAAGGGATGACTCTTTAGAACTGAGATGAGGAGGAATTCCTTTAGCTAGAGGGTGGTTAACCTGTGGAATGCACTGCCACAGAAAGCTGTAGAAGCCAAGTCATTGACTATATTTAAGACAGAGATAGATAGGATCTTGATTTTAAAGGGATCAAGAGTTATGGGGAGAAGGCAGGAGAATGAGGTTGAGAAATACAATAGTCATGATCAAATGGTGTAGCAGACTTGATGGGCCAAATGGCCTAATTCTGCTCCTATATCTTATGATCTATGGTCATATTGACACTCACAGGAGAAATGTTTCATTCCAAATGGGGTTCAGGGTTTGCTTTTTAACCTCTGTTCTCTGAATTTGATCCTGAGGGATTGAATCTTTCACAATGGCTTTCTGTCGTCTTCTGGGCAGGGGACTGTCTGCTTTGTTGGCCTCTTCTTCTTGATGCTCTTCGGGAACCATCACCCCCAACAAACAATAAGGATCGCTGAAGCCTTGAAAAGAGATTCAGTGAGAACACTTGTTACAGGACATCACGTACACATTGATTAATGGTGAGGTTAACTTGACAATCCCAATGGAAAAACTGATTGCACTCCAGAATCTCCTACAGTCTCATATGCATCCTTCCCACATGTACAAGGTATCTGAAAAGGCTTCTCATTTAGCAGGAATGGTCAACTCTTACCTTTATCACCTGGTGGCACTCTGGCGAAGGGAACTGGATTCCTACAGCTTAGTGCCTAGTTAGTGGAAGTAACAATTCTCTCCCTTCTCTGTAGCTGTCAACAACTTTCTCTTTGTTACCTTATATCAGCAATCCTCTAAAAACCCTCTTTATTTGTCTGAAGACAACACTCTGCATATTGATTCTCTGACCAACATCTCATTCAGTTGAAATCAAGGGCATAATTTTATCTAATAAAAACCAAAAGGACAGCAGATGCTGTAAATCAGGAACAAAACCAGAAGTTGCTGGAAAAGCTCAGCAAGTCTGGCAGCATCTGTGAAGAAAAAAATCAGAGTTAGCATTTCGGGTCCAGTGACGCTTCCTCAGAACAGCAGTTAACTCTGATTTTTTTTCTTCACAGATGCTGCCAGACCTGCTAAGCTTTCCCAGCAACTTCTGTTTTTGTGCATAATTTTACCTTTTGGGTGATCATGAACAATATTAGACTGGTTGCCTATTACACAACTCCACAGTTCTTCCTTCCATTTGGAGACCTAACAGGAGGTTAGGGACAAGTTATATGTCTTGAACCCGGCTTCAAAGTTCAAGGGTATACTTCTGGCCAAAGGTCAAAAAATCCTGCATAAGAGTGGATGCCATTTGAAGCTGAAGCTCATAAGGTGTCAACCTGGTGAAGCCACCAAACAGGACTACTTGTGTGCCAAACAGCATAAGCAGCAAGTGATAGACCAGAGATAAATGCGGCAAGTCCAGTTGAGTTTCTGGTCAATGGTAACCGCCGGATGTCGATAGTGGGGGATTCAGCGATGGTAACACCACTGGATGTCAAGGGGCATGGTCAGATTATTGGAAATGGTCATTGTCTGCCATTTGTATGGCACAAATGTTACTTGTCACTTGCTAGCCCAAGCCTGGATATTGTCCAGATCTTTTTGCATTTGAATATTGGCTACCTCAGTATCTGAGGAGTTATGAATGGTGCTGAACATTGTGCAATCATCAGCAAACATCCCCACCTCCGACCCCATGATGGAGGGAAGGTCATCGTTAAGCAGTTGAAGATGGCTGGGCCCACTAACCTGAGGATCTCCCGCAGAGATGCCATGGAGCTGAAATAACTCGCCTCCAACAACTACAACCATCTTCCTATGTGCCAGGCATGACTCCAACCAGCGGAGAGTCTGCCCTCTGATACCCATTGATACCAGTTTTGCTAGGGCTCCTTGATGTCAAGGGTTGTATTTAGCAAATGCTGTCCAATTGTGGAATCACACCTAATGTTGGACACTGTGCTGTGTTTTGCAGGAGCAGGCTGGTGAGTATGGTCAGTACATTCCTGTTGTGAACAGGCAAAGGGATGTGTTGGAATGTCATTACTTTTGGTCCTGAAAAGTATCCATTCTACTTTGGATGATCCTGGAAGGGTAAGGTATCTCAAATGTTTGAGCAACTGTTTCAGGCTGCTATTATGCAGTAGCAACATGAGAGATGTTTGCCACTGTCAGATGCAGCTGTAAACCCAAACTGATATTTCTGCCTATCACACAAATGAGTAATGTGGCATATGAATTTTAGTGCCAGTGTGATGCCAGATATATACGCCATATGTCCCAACGATTGGTGGATCATATTGACAACATATCAATCAATTAACAAGGAAGGAAGCTGAAGCAAAAGCACCAAAGTGATCGAGGAAGAAATTCATTAAGTAATGATCACAAAGTCTTAGACATTTTCAACTCCCAGTTGCAAGAGTGAAATTATTTCACATAGACAAATCATTACAGTGATCATTAAAGTACTGTAAATAATCTTAGTTATTACAATTAGTATGCTTTCTTGCTTTAATGTTATATATTATAATCCTGCTCTACTTTCTCCCTCAATACTCCCCCATCATTCCCCAACCCAATCTTCCCTTCTCTGCGCTCTTGCTCCTCATCACAAATCCTTCTCTCATCCTCTTCCTTCTCCCTATTACCACATCTTGTCTCAGTTCCTCTCCTCCCCCTCTCTAAGCGCCCCTCTATCCTCCCTTCCCCACTCTCTATTTCTCCTTCCATCTCTCTCCTCCCCTCTTCCCCTTCTCCCTCTCCTCCCACCCATCTAAGATCTTTTCTCTCCTCCCCCTGAATACTCTCTTTATCACTCCCTCTCTTGTCTCTTTCTCTTCCCCCTCTCTTCCTGATAACTCCTCTTTCACCGCCTTGCTGGCAGAGTGGGTAGTGAGGTCACACTGGAGGAGTGGGCAAAGAGGTGCCAGCAAGTGATCAAGTAGGAAGGGAAAGATGCCAGTTGAAATAGAAGGTTTGAAGGAAGTTTGTGAATGTATCATAACTGGTAGGATACTGCATTTAATGTCTAGTGTCTGCTTCCACCAAACTAACAAGTTGTGATCATATTTGAACATTTGATTCCTTAACTATTATTTTAATTGATTTGATTTACTTACTTATTGTCATGTGTACTGAAATACAGTGAAAAACTTTGTTTACAAGCAGTACAGGCAGATCATAGTAAGCAAAGGATGTACAGATTAAGAAGACTGAGACCGAGGCATACAGGTTACATTGCACAGGGCGTGCACTAGGCAGGATCAATGTTAGCAAGATCAGCATTATTTGAGGCTAGAGAGTCCATTCATCAGTCCAATAAAGGCCAGGAAGATGCTGTTCCTGAACCTGCACATGTGTGTGTCCAGGCTTCTGTATCTTCTGCCTGACGGAAGAGGTTGTAGGAGGTCATTACCAGGGTGTGATGGGTTTTTGTTGATGTTGGCAACCTTTCCACAGCAGCGAGCCATGTAAATGGAGTCCATGGATGGGAGGTTGGCTTACAATTGAGCACTTAAATCAAGATTTGTTCGAAATCACACTATTCGATGTTAAAAATGCACTAATACATTTGGAGAGTGCAGATTCAATGACAAATTTTTCTGGAACGGATGTAACTTGTACCTATTGTTATCATGCAATAACTTACATTTTGTTGTTACAGTAACAACCTCTTCTCATTAAGATTCAATGATGGTTTATCCTCTATCACTGCTAATTATACAAACTCTTACACTTAACCTAGGTAGGAGGACTGGGGCACTTATGGTATAGTGGTTACAGTGATTGTAATGAGGTCAGCCAAGTGAAGCTCACAGAATATGAGTTCCCTGATTGAGGCTGTTGATTTGGCCTAACCAGGGAGCTCTCGCTGACAGATATGAACAGGAGTGATAGAGGTACTGTTCACTCGGAGAAAGCTGGATCAGTGTCAAGGACTCACCACATGAAAATAAAGGGTAACCTGTTGACAGGATACCAGCGTCTGTGGAGTTACTTCAATGGTAGTATCTGGTAGTTTCTGGCCCTATCTCTGGGCCGGAAGACCTGGGTTCAAGTCACACCTGTTCCAGAGGTATATGGTAACCATAAGCAACCACATAGGCAAGGGCAGTAGAAACCACTACATACAACAACTTTGTGCGCACGGGTGCCTTCAATTTTCTTGAAGAATAATCCGGAGAAATTCTGAATTCGTAAATTCTGCCCACTGATCCAACTATAAAGAGGCCAAGGAGCATTATGTCGAGACACAAATGACATGTCTGAACTAGCACCTGAAGGACATTCCTGCCAATATCAGTTCTGTAGCTTCACATTCTTGCACATGTGACAGAAGGCACCACTTTTGAAAGTATAACTTCCTCTTCAAATAGGGGAGCAACCTGAAGATGGGCACATGGCCAACAGAAAAAGGGCTAGAGCAGCAGCATCACTTGTGGAGCTGGAGTTTTAGTTTGTTTCTGATGTTTTTTGGCTCACATTGAACAGCATAATTTTAAATGCAAATTACTTTTATTGCATATCAAGTTTCCTGTGATCCTTTGTGTTAGTTTCATAAACACAGCACTAACAACAAACTCTCCCACAAAACCAGCCAATGCATCAGGATGGATTCATAACCAATGGATGTTTCTGACAGTTGCAGTTTTTTGCAGAACTTGGAGAAAGCTCCTCAAGTGAAAGGAATGACTCACTAGTAAATAACACTAGAAAAGTTTCATATAATTCTTTAAACAACATTTACTGAGGATCTGACTACTGTGCACCAATATAACTGGAAAATAGTTCAGTGTATTTTCTAAAACATATTCTTAGGAATTTAAAATCAAGTTACTCACAGATCATGAATTGACACTGATTTAAAATCATTTTATTTTGTGTGACTACCCCATTTCAGTTGCATTATTGAAACTTTATGGAGTTCCCACTCTTTAAATATATCAGGGAATTTAAGTAATTTTCAAAAATATTTTTGTTTTAAAGTGTTTTCTGACAGTGCTGGTCCATGGCTATAGGCAAATAAGTTTGAACAGAAACTCAGTGTTGGTGGGAGTTGGCAGACACACACTTTTCAAAGGGATAATATTTTGTCACTGATTTCACTCAAATCAGAGATTCCACCCATTGAGGGTGATCTTGAGACCCTTATTGAAGTTACATATCTAGCCCATACTATGCATTAATAAGATTTGACTCATGTTATTGTTCCAAACATTTTACTAAACTGTGTAACACGGTGTTCATCAAACACCAACAGGACAGCCCTACAAATCTTCTTCAGAGACTTGCAGTTACCTTGGAGGGTGACACATTATCTATTAATTCCTTTTAGCTTGAAGATTATCTCAGAACTCTCGCTGCCTGTTGCTGGTCACACAAAGCAAAAATATATACTTACCATTTGCATCTTTGGCCAAGATTCCCTGGGCTTCCTTCACTATTAACTTCAGGAACACAGTGGGTGGCTGTGGAAGTGACAAGAGAAAGTAAGAGAGGCCTCAGCGTGACTGCCATAGTCAAATAATCTTCAATTTACAACAGGCAATTCCCAGCATCGTTTCTTACACAGTGTTACAATCTGGAATGGCCCAAATCTCTCATCACGATTGCATCTTCAAAAGCCCAAATCCATTCCTCTCTAAACTACCCCACATCCATTAGTATTAAGCCCTCTTATTGGAATAATGAACCTTCTCACTGGAATAATCTCCTCACTCCACACTATAACAATCTCACACCCCTCAGGATAAACTTGCTGACATAATCTACACCTCTGACACACTCAATCTGATATAGCTTGTACCTCTCGCCATATCCTCCTGTAACCGTTCCCACATTGCATTCAAATCGCTTTCTAGGTGTCTTTTTTGGCATGTCATAATACATGTTACAACAAACGAACCTAAAATTGTGCTCATGTCCTTAAACAAAGCATTTGAGGCTACTCAGCTCACCTTTAGCTGCCTGATCTGCCTCAGAAAAACTGTGTGTTCTTCTTGGTTCACTTGGAAAGCCTAGAAACAGAGAGAAGCAAGAAATAGTCAAACAGGTCATTGTGGGACCATATGCTCAGACATATTATTAATAGAACATAGAACAATACAGCATAGGAACAGGCCCTTTGGCCCGCAATATTGTGCCGAACATGATGCCAAATTAAACTAATCTCTTCTGCTTGCCCTTAGTCCATATCCCTCCATTCCTTGCGTATTCATTTGCTTATCCAATCACAAACAAGCTGCTGCTCACACTTCAAAGGTTACCTTCAGCTTTTTGTTCACAGTTCCAAACTACAAAATGATAAATAAAAGAAAAAAACAGCGAGTGTTCAAACATATCCGATGACAAGAGGTTACATTGAAATTGCAGTGTGACATGAACAGGTCAGAGTTGGAAGTTCACATAATACTATAGTACCAGTACTTTTCAGCATTGCATCCAAAACACAAAGTGATGTTTGCAGCAATAACGAATTTAAAGATTTCCAACAGGATAGTGATCAGGGTGTAATAAACACTTCATGATAGGGTCTGGGGGAGTGTTGCCAAACAACGAGACGTTGGGGTACAGAGTCATAGTTCCCTGAAGGTGGAGGCGCAGGTAGACAGAGTAGTGAAGAAGGCATTTGGTATGCTTGCCTTTTTTGGTCAGTGCATTGAGTACAAGAGTTGGGATGTCATGTTACGGCTGTACAGGGCATTGTTTAGGTCATTTTTGGAATACTGCATTCAATTCTGGTCTCCTGCTCTGGCAAAGATGTTAAACTTGAAAGAGTTCAGAAAAGATTTACAAGAATGTTGCCAGGGTTGAAGGGTTTGAGCCATAGGGACAGGCTGAATAGGCTGGGGCTATTTTCCCTGGAGCGACAGAGACTGAGCGGTGACCTTATAAAAGTTTATAAAATCATGAAGGGCATGGATAAAGTGAATAGTCAAGGTCTTTTCCCTAGGGTAGGAGGGTCCAAAACTAGAGGGCACAGGTTTAAGGTGAGAGGGGAAAGATTTAAAAGGGACCTAAGAAGAAATGTTTTCACACAGAGGGTGGTGTGTGTATGGAATGAGCTGCCAAAGATATTTGGATGGGTACATGAATAGGAAAGGTTTAGAGGGATATGGGTTAAATGATGGCAAATGGGATGAGATTAATTTAGGATATTTGGTCAGCATGGATGAGTTGAACCGAAGTCTCTGACTTTAATTGATTTTCTATTGGTTCTGGGAGCCAAATGTCCCGCGGGAGTGTAACCAATTAGGTCATGTATTTGATTGTGTCAAATTCACAGTGGCAGGGACCCAGGTTCACTTCTTGCCTTTTGTGTTAGCACATTCTCCCTTGTCTGGGTTTCCTCTGGATGCTCCAATTTCCTCCAACAGTCCAAAGATCTGCAGGTTGGTGGATTGACCATGGTAAAGTACCCCATAGTGTTGAGGGATGTACAGGCTAGATGGACTAGCCATGGTAAATGCAGGGTTACAGGGATAGGGTGGGGAGGCCTGTCTGGTTGGAATGCTCCTAGTAGGTTCAGTGCATACTCGATGGGCTGAATGGCCTCTCTCTTACAATAATGTAGAGATTCTATGATTCTAAGATATACTTAATCTTTGCCTTCGCTAATTGTTCACTAAGGAGGTGAAGTCTTCATCTGCCTTAAATAAGGTCAAAGTCAGAAATAACATGACACCAGGTTATAGACCAATAGGTTTATTTGAAAACACAAGCTTTTGGAGCTTCAGTCCTTCTTCAGATGTTAGTGACAATGTAGCTGCAGTAGCGAATTGCTTGTGATGACAGTCACTCCTTGTCTCATTTAATAGCTCCTGAGTGGATTATTTCCTCATCAGTTGTAGGACCCTTAACCCTTTGATCCTTAGCTCAGAAAATGAGTGCACTTCTTTTTCAAGAAATGTTTAGTTACAGACACAAGGATGGGTGAAAGTGGCCGTTTTATTTGGAAACAATTTCTGGCAATTGCAGCGATGGAATGCCCGCTATTAAGAAAGAATTCTCTTTACATCGAAAACAAATGCACAAGTCTCAAAGAAAATAAACCTTAATCAAGGACAACAGCCAGCCTGCCTCAGAAAATAGCCCTGTCAAAATTATTTTGGAAAAGTGAATTTTCACAGTGTATTTGTTGTATATATCATATATTTAGGAATAAATGTCGTCAAGTCCTTTTTTATACTGATGCTTCCTCAGATAAGGACAATGAATTTGTGCTGTATCCTCCCTAAAATTTTAACATTCTTCCTATGCTGTGGAGCTCAATGCTGCATACAATCCTGACCTGTTGAGGATATACAAAGATGATTGGCTCTGGTAGCTTTCCATTAGACCTGCCAAACCATCCTTTTAGTTTATGTTACCCACCGCTGATCAGTGTGAAACCGAAGCAAAACTTCCTGGTGAATCTGACAAGCTGGCACATGAGTTACAACCAAATTGCCAGCAGACAAGTGTCTATCGCGTTGGTTCAGCAGGTGTGCCTCACTGGCTTCTCAGTGGGTAGCATTCTCACAGAATCACTGAGGGGGTGCAAAACTATATGAGAGGTCATCTTTCAGGTGAGGTATTAAGGCCCAGCTTGTCCTCTCTGGTGGATGTGAAAGATTACATGGCACTACTCAAAGACTTGTAGGTGCATTCTCTCAGTGTTTGGCCAATATTTATTCCTCAATCAACATCACAAAAAAACTAGCCATTTATTTCATTGCTGTTATGGAATGCCACTGTGTGCCATCTTTCCTAGAACAGTGGTGAACCTCAATTAGCTATAAAGTACACGGGACATCCTGAAATTCATGAACGGCAAAATATTAACGCAATTCTTTCCCTTTTCACCCATTGGACCTGCTGGAAACCACATCAATGTATCTGAGTATCTTTCTGACAAGGAGGTAAAATGTTTTGAGTTAGCTTACTTACATTCTGCAGGTAATTAAGGAGCTCATTCTCGTCTGCACTGTGGGATACTGAGGGCTTACCACTGCGATGAATAAAGGTGTACAAGGCTTCTTCATATAACAGGTGTAACTGAATGGAACAAAATGAAAATTACTGTCAGCTTCTGAAGACTGGTCAAACATCAGTATTGCAAAATATCCAGTGCTCAGTGTTCTCATGTTTACTGTTCTTTTGTTCAGTTTTCTCATGTCAATATTGTTGTGTTCAGTGTTCTCATGTTCAATGTTCTCATTCTGTGTTCTCTTGTTCAGTATCATCGTGCTCAGTGTTCAGTATTCTCACAAAGTGTTCGCCTGCTCAGTGTCCCCATGCTCAGCAGACTTTTCAGATCTTCAAACAAGCTCAGGCCAGACATCTTGGTTACTGTTAAGCAACATTAGGCAGGAGCTAGGGTGTTATCAGGCAAGTGCACATTTGACACGTGGAAACTGTTTAAAGACCTGCTGGGGAGAGTTCAAGACAGGCATGTTCCAGTAAGGAGGAAGGACAAGAAGGACAAGGAGGACAAGGTAAGGAACCCATGGATAACAAGGGAGGTTGTGAATTTAGTCAAAAAGAGAAGAGAAAAGAAGCATATGTAAGGTTTAGGAAGCTGAAATTGGACTGGGCCTGTGAGGAATATAAGGAAAGCAGGGAAGTACTCAAGCAGGGAACTGGGAGAGCAAGAAGGGGCCATGAAATTACCTTGGCAAGTAGGTCAAAAATCACATGACACCAGATTATAGTCCAACAGGTTTATTTGAAAACACAAGTTTTCAAATAAACCTGTTGGACTACAACCTGGTGTCATGTGATTCCTGACCTTGTCCACCCCAGTCCAACACCAGCACCTCCACATCTTAGCAAGTAGGGTTAAAGAGAATCCCAAGGTATTCTATACCTACATTAAAAAAAACAAGAGGATAACTAGGGAGAAAGTAGGACCACTCAGGGATAAAGGAAGGAACTTGTGGTTGGAGGCGGAGGATGTGGGTGAGATCCTAAATGAGTACTTTGCGTCAGTATTCACCCAGGAAAAAGACAAGGAAGATAGTGAGATTTGTGTGGAGCATGCTGATATGGTAAGGCATTTTCAGATCAAGAAAGAAGTGATCTTGGGTCTCTTAAAGACCATTAAGGTGGATAAGTTCCCAGGCCCCGATAATATCTACCTCAGGTTATTGAGAGAGGCAAAAGAGGAGATTGCTGGGGCCTTGACCAAGGTCTTTGTATCCTCACTAGCCACTGGAGAGGTCCTGGAGGACTGACGAGTAGCTAATGTTGTTCCTCTGTTCAAGAAGGGAAATAGGGATAATCCAGGAAACCGGTCAGTCTCACATCGGTGGTTGGGAAGCTATTGCAGAGAATTCTTAGGGATAGGATTTACACACATTTGGAAAAGCATGGCCTAATTAGGCACAGTCAGCATGGCTTTGTGCAGTGCAGGTCACATCATACTAACTTGACTGAATTTTTTGAGGAGGTAATTGATGAGAATACAGCAATAGATGTTGTTTACATGGATTTTAGGAAGGCTTTCGACAAGGTCCCTCATGATAGTCGCATCCAGAAGATTAAGATGCATGGGATCCACAGTGACTTGGCCGCGTGGATTCAGAATTGGCTTGCCCATAGAAGACAGAGGGTTGTGGTGGAAGGGCGTTTTTCAGGCTGGAGGTCCATGACTAGTGGTGTTCTGCAGAGATCCGTACTGGGACCTCTGCTGTTTTGTGACATATATAAATGATTTGGATGAAAATGTAGACAGTAAGTTCGCAGACGATACAAAGATCAGTGGAGTTGTGGATAGTGTAGAAGATTGTCCAAGGATGCAGTGGCATATAGATTAGTTGCAGATATGGCGGAGAAATGGCAGATGGAGTTTAATTCAGGTAAGTGTGAGGTGCTGCATTTAGGGAGATCAAACGTTAAGGAAAAGAATACAGTTAATGGCAGGACTCTGAACAGCACTGATGTACAGAAGGATCTTGGGGTTCAAGTCCATAGCTCCCTGAAAGTAGCCACGCAAGTAGATAGGGTGGTAAAGAAGGCGGATGACATGCTTGACTTTATTGGTCGGGGAATTGAGTACAAGCGTCAGGATGTCATGTTGCAGCTTTATAAGACTTTAGTTCGGCCACATTTATGAGTATTGCATTCAGTTCTGGTCACCACATTACTGGAAGGATGTGGAGGCTTTGGACTGGGTGCAGAAGAGGTTTACCAGGATGCTGCCTGCATTAGAGGGTATGAGCTATAAGGAGAGGCTAGAAAACCTCTGGTTGTTTTCTCTGGAGTGCTGGAGGCTGAGGGGAGACTTGATAGAAATCTATAAAATTATGAGATGCACAGATAGGGTTGATGGTCAGAATCTTTTTCCCAGAGTTGAAATGTCTTAAACTAGGGGACATGCATTTAAGGTGAGAGGAGGAAAGTTCAAAGGAGACGTGACGGGCAAGTGTTTTTACACAGAGTGGTAGGAGTCTGGAACACACCGCCACGGGTGGTAGTGGAGGCAGATACGATACGGGTGTTTAAGGGACTTTTAGATAAAAACATGAATATGCAAGGAATGGAGGGATATGGACCAAGGGCAGATAGAGGGGATTAGTTTCATTTGTTAGTATTCAGCTACAACAAGTAATTAGGAAAACTAATAGAATGTTATCACTTATTGTGAGGGGAACTGAATACAAAGGAAGAAAGTTTTGATATGGCTAATCCAGTTCTGTTTCTTGTGATTGGTAAGCCCCAGGATGTTGATAGTATAGGTTCACTGATGGTAAAGCCATTGAATGTCAAGGAGTGACAGTTTGATTCTCTTGTTGGAGGTGGTCGTTGACTGACATTTGTATGGCATGAATATTCCTTGCCACTTCTCAGCCCAAACCTGGACATCCCTACTTCTGACCTTATGATGAAGAGAAGGTGAAGCAGCTGAGGATGGTTGGACCTAGGACATTCCACTGAGGAACTCCTGCAGAGATGTTTCGGAGCTGAGATGATTGACCTCCAAGGGCTATAATCCTCTTCCTTTGTATGAGGTATGTCTCCAGCCAGCAGAGAGTTCTCTCCCTGATTCACCCCCACTTCCCAGTTATTAACCTTTTCTGAAAGCTTCCCCAGCCGTGCCATTGAACTGATCAGCTTGTAACCGACACATCTGTCCTTTGAACATTCCTCTGACAGTACCCCTAAATCTAATTCAATTGCATTGTTCATAAATAGTAATTAATTCATTCATCAAAATAATACACAAGGAGCAACATTTGGTAGTACTGTGCTGAGCAAAATCAATGAACAATTCAATATTAAATGAAAGAAAAGAGGGTGCCTGCAAGATTCTTAGGAAGAAGCTGAAAGGTGCATATGGAGCTGGTTGTCTTTTTAATCCAATTTTAGAGAGTGGATTGTAAAGAAGATCTGGTTATTGAGTTGGAACAACATGTGACCAATATCATTTCCGGTTAAAAGCTGAGGCATTAGAGATGTGAAAAGACAGATGAAAATACAGAAACTGTAGGTGTCAGATTGCAAGTATTAGTTTAACAAAATATTTCACACCCAAAGGCACTCCTGTGAAGACTGGTGTTACAGCTAATCAGTAACCAATGTTCACCCTACAATTGTGCATCATCACAGTGGGTTGTCACTTGACTATGAGATGAAATCATTGCTTAAACCATTATAAAATTGAAAGTTGAGTCAAATAATTCGTTATGGACAGACAAAATGAGAAAGCTCAATGGAAAATGTTTTGGTGCCCTAATCAGTTGAGCCACTATAATCATCTGAAAGACACTTTGTGGTCACTAACACCTCAACTCAGGGCAAGATGAAGGAAAAACAGTTGGTGATACAATACTTTCCCACATCTAGTGGTGTAAGGTTTGTGTCAGTTTTCTATAGAATTGTATAGAACAGACAACATAGATTTAGGCCATTCAGCCTGTATTATTGTTAATATTCCAAACAAGCCTCCACCCACATCCTGTATTTAAAACATATCAGCAGTCATAACAAAACATGAAAAAAATAAGCAGACAATAATGGTGCCAACATTAGAAACCTTAATATCCTTTGTGACTGATAAAAAATCAGTTGATTGTATGAAAATGTTTCCATATTTTACCACTGTAAATTTGCCGTAAGGAAAATGCAATAGCCACGCAGAGCATAACGCAGGGCTGCATGCGTATCTACAATGGCCATACACTATAAAACCATAAGACCATAAGATATAGGACCAGTATTAGATAATTCAGCCTATTAAATCTGCTGTACCATTCAATCATGGCTGGTATGTTTCTCAACCCCATTCTCCTGCATTCTCCCCATAAGCCTTGATCTCCTTACCAATCGAGAACACACCTCTGTCTTACACAGTCTCAATGACTTGGTCTCCACAGTCCTCTAGGGGAATGAGTTCCACAGATTAACCACCTCTGGCTGAAGAATTCTGGCCTCATCTCAGATCTTGAGGGTTGTCCCTTCACTCTGAGGCTGTGCCCTCGGTCCTTGTCTCTTCTACTAGTGGAAACCTCTTCTCCACATCCACTCCATCCAGTCCTCTCAGTATTCTATACATTTCAGCAAGATTCCCACCTTCCATCCTTCTAAACTCCATCGAGTACAGACCCAGAGTCCTCAACCACTCCCCATATGACAAGCCCTTCAACCCCAGGAGCATTCTTGTAAACTTCGTTTAGATCCCCTCCAGTGCCAGCACATCCTTTCTTAGGTACAGGACCCAAAACTGGCCACAAAAGTCCAAATGCAGTCTGACCAGAGCCTTATACAGCCTCAGTAGTACATTTCTGCTCTTGTATTCTAGCCCTCTTGATAAAATATTAACATTGCATTTGCCTTTCTAACTGCCAACTGAACCTACATGTTAACCTTAAGAGAATCCTGAACTAGGATTCTCAAGTCCCTTTGTGCTTCAGATTTCTGAAGTCTTTCCGCATTTAGAAAATAATCTTTCCCTCGATTCTTCATACTTAAGTGCATAATCTCACACTTTTCCATATTGTATTCCATCTGCCACTTCTTTGCCCACTCTCCTAACCTCTCCAAGTCCTTCTGCAGCCTCCTCACTTCCTCAACACTACCTGTTCCTCCACTTATCTTTGTGTCATCTGCAAACTAAGCAACAACGCCTGAGTTCCTTGATCTTGATCATCAATATAGAACGTGAATAGTTGTGGTCCCAACACAGACCTCTGTGGAATTCCACTAATCACTGGCTGCCATCCTGAAAAAAAACCCTTTTTTCCTACCATCTGCCC